GTATTACTATTTTGGCGATTAACTAAAATATAAATTATATTTGATGCAAATTTGGTTATATTTAAGCTTTTCCAAAACTTTGGGAAAAATATTGTTTTCCAAAACTTTTCCAGGGCCTGGAATTAGCATTTTGAATTTCCATGACTTTTCTAGGTTTTTAATGACCGTAAGAACCCTGGTATTCCACCATGAAGTATTGCCTTACACATAAAAGAGTAACACATTTGCCCTAGGTCACTACGTCATTCCTCTTTATGAACCGGGGCACTGTTATGTAGTTTATTTTGAATAAATCCCAAATACACCAGCCTTCTACTGTAAATACCAAATGTGTATTAATCCCAACAAGAAAAAGTCCCCGGCAAAAGCACATTGTTATGCCGGCTGGATTTACACTCTCCAGCTGTATTAGGTCATGTTTAAACCTTGTGGTAGAAATCAAAGCATGTATTACTAAACTGAACAAACCGTTTACATCCTCAATAGGAATGAATGGGATTGGGGCTGAGTACAGAGTAGTGGAGACAATGATTTAGACGTGCACTAATGCAATGTTGATTTTGGTCTTTTCAATGGATTCGTTGAGAATGTGAAAAATATAGATTAATGCAAGCCTTATTCTGTAAGTCACAGTTCTCTTCAACACCAACAATCATTGATGAACCCCTTCAAATATCACCCTAAAACCCATCCATTTTAAAAGTGAATGAAGAAATAATCAGTTTTGATGATTCACAAAAGTAGCCTCATAAAGACAACCACCCCACTTCCAATGATTCCTTTTAATTCAAGCTCCATGAGCCACCATCCCTCCAGTTTCACTATACATTACATCCAAGTAGAAACCATTCACTCTCCTGTTTAACACCTCATCCATTCATGAACACATTACCCACATCTGCTGGTGCCCATCACTCGTTGCTCTTACATAAGGACTCAATGGTCAATGGGGAGCTGCGGCTAAACGGTGGATTCCAGTTCTGCAGCGCCGCCAGTCTCCATCAACATCTCCGTAATTATCAGAGGTTTCCCTACAGTGTATCCAGGGTGCAGGAAGCACAGCGAACAGAGCTGTACGAGCTGATCAGACTCACACGCTGCTAATTGAGAGCAGGCATGTGTGTCTGCATTTGATCAAAGAGTGCAACAATTCTGCACAAGTAAGGAACCATTTTGACACTGAGATAATGGGGAGTGAATTTAAGAGACACACATTGAAGAGAACATTTTGAAATACAAGCATTGGGATTATCTTAGACTTGGTTAATAGTGCTGGAGGAAATTATCTTGAACCCTCCTGTTGTCTTCGGGTCAAATCTGACCGATTTACTACTTTCATCAATCATAACTTTTTTGTTTTACATTCGATTGCATTAAGGCTTTATGATATCTTTCAAAGTAGACATTTGAACATATGCAATTGCTGATCACCACTTTCATTGAATTTTGGATGATTTAGTCAACTTTGTAACACCCATGGTGTTCCCGGTGTCACAGACACACACACACACACACACACACACACACACACACACACACACACACACACACACACACACACACACACACACACACACACACACACACACAGATCAATTTGACACATTTCCCGCTCTTATGTGCCCATCCCCCCACATGGATCACACCTGGCACACGCAATACATGTTCAGTGTCTATTCTTTGTATATTTACTGCAGTTGTTCATGTATACCAGTAGTCTGATACAATATGTACAGTTTGAAAGGGTGTTAAATTAAATTTGGTGATGATTAATGGTTTTTGTGTTTATGTAATAGCAGTTAAAACAGGAGCGGTCAAATTTGACCACGAACACCAAAGCAAGGGGGGAAAAGGAAGACAGTAGGAGGGTTAAACAGGTTTCTGTGAGAGCATGTGGTCCTTACTATTGCCTGCTTGTAAATATTTTTGTGGCAGACTTATTCGCTTTTACCATTGCTCTGGATAAAAACGTCAAACACAAATGTGGGTTAATTCAATTTTGAGAAGATGTCAATTTTTCGAAACGATGATAAACTGCTCAGGCTCACTGATGTTCTTACATATTTAATGCTGTAAAATGCCATGGTGATATCCCTCTGATCGTGGGTGGGGTCGAGTGTAAGCTGTCTTAATTAAAATGTTTTTATGCCTGTGGGTTTAAAGAGCAACACCACGTTTTTTTGGATCTTTAAGAACTAACAAGCAGTGCTCGAAGAACTACTTAGATTTTATACTTGAAAAATAGCATTACTCAATTGTACAAATATTCTGTTACAAGTAAAAGTCAAAATTGTACTTACTAAATGTACTCGAAGTACTCAATAAGCGCAATGCCCCATTTCAGAATCAAATAGATAACTTGATAATGATTATTGATGCATTAAAGTGTCTGGGAAAGGTGGGGCACACACTGCTGGATTCTTTAACCAATGTTATGTCAAAGATGTATTTATTAGTTTACTTATAATCTGAAAATGTATATTAACTGAAGCTGTCAAATAAATGTAATGGAGAAAAAGTAAAATATTAGCTTCCAAAATGAATAGGAGTAGAAGTATAATGTTGCATACAATGAAAATACCCAGTTAAAGTACAAGTACGTCAAAATTGTACCAACCTTAAGTCAATTTATTACATTCCACTAGTTGTAATAAGGGCTCGAACACTTGATCTTGTTAGCAGCAATGATATTGGCTTTTTATACATCCAGTTATTTCCTGTGGTAGAAAACTCAATATATATAGAGAGTATATAGAATATATGAAGCCAGTCAAATAAAATACTTTGGCAGGACATAAAGCCAGATGGCCGTACAGGGGGACACCAGTGGTGCCAAAATGTTGCCACCAGAGTGGTTAATGCCATAAGCAGGATCCCCTCTCTTACAGCTACCAAACAAAAGGAAAAACAGCGTTAACCTGCCCTGACATCCTCAACAGTTCATACTTGTTCTTTTAGACATGGCTGAATAATCCCCTACACAAACCTCAGTGCCCAAATTGCCCAGATTTCTCTCAGTTAGGAGAAATTGTTCAGTCAGAGCCAAAGTGTATTTATTGAGATTTATTTTTTCGAGATTCCTGTCATTCTTTGTTAACATTTAGGGCTGGGAGACGTTCCTGTTCAGCGTACACAGAAATACAATGAGACGTGCAGCCAGCATGGGCCACTATATTTGAGGTTTAGAGTCTGATAGAAGCTGGCATGAGGGCCCGGAGAGTCTAAATGTGGGCGGGGTCGAGGGTAAAGCAGATTAGAGAGACCACAGGACAAACTGGAAAATGCTTCTGTGAAAATGTTGGCACTAAAAGAACAAAAGACGCCTCATCTTCCTTTTGTAGTGATTAATCTCTCACTTTCAGTATTATGCGTGAACATATTCCACATCTTGAATTACACACAGACACTTTTCCACATTTGCGTGCCTTTAAAAAACAAAGGGCAAAGATAAACCTATTTTCTTTCTTTCAATGCACCTGTCTCTTGAGATTTAAGTTGATTTTATGAGGTATTAGGCTTTCTATGTGACAATGTGGCCTATTAAGAACACACAATCACATTCATACTCCAATAGCTACCCAATCAGAACTGTAATGCTGTTATAAACTCTAATAACATCAAAGTCTCCTTGGCTGATTAACAACTACCTTGTTTTAAAACATGTTACAATTGTGGAGTCATGGGTAGTGAAACACAACCTTAAAACATCCCACAGGATATTTCAAACTAGGCAGTGAAGCATCCAACTATTGCCCCTCTAATAACTAAACAAATCGTATTAAATGGTGACACTGACCTGTTTATTCGCTGGTGTTGCTCTGATTTTTGTTCCCGGTCAGGAGTGAACACCATGTTGAGGAAGGTGGCGGTGGCCGCGGCCTCCAACCCCCACGTGGAGATCCGCCAGGACGGAGATAAGTTCTACATCAAAACCTCCACCACCGTGCGCACCACCGAGATCAACTTCCAAGTCGGGGAAGAGTATGATGAGGAGACGGTGGACGGAAGAAAATGCAAGGTAGAATCAAATCAGTACTGCTAAAACACATATTCAAACACACTGATACTCAATTGGTTATACACTTTACAGTTTAGAATAGGAGTCACACTCGCAGCTTGAAGCGCCACACTGTACCTGTGTGTTTTAGCTCTTATACAACAAACATACTGTGTGTTTTGGATGTTCATATGTATTTCTCCTGATGTCCAGGCTGGCATTGTTTCCCTTCTTTCTGTACTAACTATATGAACCAATTCTGACTATTTAGGCTATAATGACAAAGGTTGCATGGCTGTCACCACCGCTAAGCTAAAGGCAGCTAATGTTTGGTATGATGATGTTTAGTTTTTGATTGTGGTTTGGGTAAAAAAAAACGTTGTAATTATGGTTAGAAACAGATGAGGCTTAGGCTATGTCTTCACAATGACCAAACAAGACAATGTGTGTGTGGACAGGTAGCCTACAGAGAAGGTATGATTAAGTCACAATCTTAAATTCCCTGCAAAAAATGTATCATTAAAATCTATAAACACATTATTCAGTTTTAACAAAGGGAACACTTAATCCATAACATCTACTTAACATCTACACATATGTAAAGTAACCTGTATCTTTTCACTTCATTCTGTATGTGTGTGTGTGTGTGTGTGTGTGTGTGTGTGTGTGTGTGTGTGTGTGTGTGTGTGTGTGTGTGTGTGTGTGTGTGTGTGTGTGTGTGTGGCCTAGCATTACTAGACTTGTGGGGACCTAAATCTGTTTACACAGTCACGTGTGGGGACTCGCCTCCCTTATGGGGACATAATGGAGGTCCCCATAAGGGGAATCATTAATTTTAGGGTGAAGACTTGGTTAGGTTTAGGGTTAGGGTTAGGGTAAGGCATGTGTTGGTTATGGTTAAGGTTAGGATAAGTCTCCAGGAAATGCATGTAAGTCAATGTAATGTCCCCTGAAGTAATGTATACATGGTGTGTGTGTGTGTGTGTGTGTGTGTGTGTGTGTGTGTGTGTGTGTGTGTGTGTGTGTGTGTGTGTGTGTGTGTGTGTGTGTGTGTGTGTGTGTGTGTCAAAGGTCTTCAAAGCTTTACGCACGCTATTGTTGATGAGGGTTGAATGAAAAATTAATACCTTCTCACAGTTTCATCACTTGGTATCATCCTCACGTCTGAAGCTGGATTAAGGGCAGCTTCAGTTGGGAGGAGACTTTCTCTCTGAACCTCTTCAGGCCCTGAGGGGATTTCACACCCTGAAAGACAGTCAGATAGACAGGTTAAGAAAGTAGGCTACTCTTTAAAAAAAAATATTTTCAAAGTCTTCTGAACTTTCTGAACTCATTACAAATTCGGCTAAAATGACTGTAAAATGTGTAGAAGGAAATTCAAATTCAAATAAAGTGTTGTGACACAAAGACTGTGCTATGTTACATGTAATGAGAGTGGCTTCTTAAGACACCTCTGATATGATCTCAACACTGAGACTTTTATGTAACATGTGAGGTAGGTAGTATCAGATAAAGTTTTATAATATGTAAACATATTACGATTACATTCATAAAGCTACCCATCGTCTGTCATTACATATTGTGTCAGAGCAAGAAGTCTTTTCACTCATAACTTTCTAAATTGCTTCGTAAAGTTAATTTCTTTATAATAAGCCACCTATTGATGTGACATAATGTATATTGCAACATCATAAGGAAGTCATAAAGAAAGACAAACAAGTAATCAATCATTATGTTTGTTGAGCAGAGGTGTTAGAAATCTCTAACTCTAGCTTTCCCATTTGAACGCAGTAGTCAATTCCCCTCAACTATGTCATTGTCTAGAAACAATGAAGGAAGTCAGCGCTCCAAAATGAAAACTTGCTGCCACTGAGTCACTTTTGGTAACGAGATATTTTGCCATAATAATCCAGACGCTGACATCTGCTTATCTCTATACTGCATAGCAACCTGTGTCTGAGCTAGAGAGAAGATGAGTGTTGTTTAGTATCAGTGAGGTCACACGGCGGGTAAACAACTCAAGATGTCAAGATGAGTTTACTTGATGTTTCTGCTGCGACTTGCTGAAGTGTCCTTGAGTAAGAAACTGCAACGCCTTACACAAAACACTTAAGAGAGCTAACAGGCTGAAGAGTTTCTGTTTCTCTGCTGAAATGTATGAAAACAGAAAAGTTGCGTCCTGGAGAATTCTTTGGAAACAGAAAGCAGTGATATAAATGCTTGTGGAGAATAAATATTTCACATTGAAAAGGGAAAAATGTGTAATTGCGTGCAAGCACTACTTAAGATTTCATCCAAAAGCCTGAGATATTGGAGATATGTGTTTTCTTGGAACCACAAAGCCCCTCTGGTTATGTGAATACATAATTAATTTAGAGTGGATCTCTTTTTTACATTTATATCAACATGCATCGTTGGAGTTTGCAAAACAGCATTCAATAATACCTGAACAGTACATTTGTCTTTATCTGTTATTTTTAAGGGTAAACTACGTGTTGCAGTCAGGGCGACTTGACCTATTTCTGCTCCTAGGAGGAGACAGTGTGGGTGCGTCTGTCTGTGCCCTGGGGCATGCTGGGTACTGGGCAAGGCTAGACATGACGCGCAGAGTGGCTTTGTGATGCCACATGACGCCTCAAGACAACTTGTCATCACACATTTGCCACATTTACTTGTCGGGGTTGGAGCAGCAGCCTCACAGAAGGTGTTTGAACAGTGACACTGTCTCTTTGCTGCAGCACACGGGAGGGAAATACATTTAAAGATGTTATTTAAAGATTATGAGGTTCAAGAGGCTTTAAGCTATTATCGAAGCGTTGAGCCAATTTATAACTCGGTTATTGGCATAAACTGATGTATAGTCATCAGATGGCCAGAACAAATCGAATTGAAAGATAACGTTGCACCAAATCTGCGAGATGTGTTCAAATGTCGTTAAAAACCAAATGTATAGCAGATTTAAGGAAAGATGTGGGATGGAAAACCAAAACAGTGAGCTGAAAAAAGCTGAATTAAACAGAGTATCTAAGAGTTGGTTATTTTTTTGGTGGGTTTGTCAGTACAAGTGAAACATTTCACATGGCATCATTTTTAAATTAGGAGACTTTGTTCAACGAGCTACATTCACTCCACAGTTCATCTGATGTGGATGCAAACGCCCTCATATTGAAGCACAGAGCTGCCGGCGTCACAGACCTGTAATACTCCTCATGTCTGTCTGTATAATAGATTTTGTTTTATTACCAAGAAGATTTATGGAGGTGGCTCTCAGCAACAAGCATATTGGGCCCTTGTGTTGCAATCATATGCAAGAATGGAGCTGAACCTGCAGGAGGCAGCGCCCACTGACACATGTGCCATGTGGGTGGGGGGGGTGTGTGTCGGGTGTTGGCGGACTCTCAGTCAGGCAGGACAGCCCTCAGTGTGTTTGGGCCTTTGTGGTTAAAGGGATTACAGGCTGAACTGTGCCTGGCAAAGAGCAAAGGGTAGATTAGCTCTGCCATAAGGTTACAGAGCTCCAGTTAATCTGAGTGGTGGGATCAGACCCCCCCCCCTCTCACTTACTGGAGGAGACAGTGATACGAGAACCAGAGGAACAGACACTAATTGATTGAAGAGAGAAAGTCATGATAAAGTGATTTACCTGATCTGAAGTGTGGAGGTTTATAGGTGGCAGACAAACATGAGCACAAGAGATGTTGCTGTCTTGTGAATTGTCAAGTAATAAAACAGTGTTTGAGGTGGAGCTGTTTTTCCTCTGCACTGCTCATCCTAATTTCCAACATACAAAAAATCCAGGCAAAACAGAGCCGTTGCTGTTTGCGTTACATGTACAGCAGGGGTGTCAAACTCAATTCCATCACAGCCACATTCGCATTATGGTTGCACTCAAAGGGCCGGTTGTAACTTTAAGACTATATAAAAATACATATATAAATATTTAATATATATAATGTATTATATTACTCATCGCCTCTGCATTGGATTATTATCGGATAGGGTAATAACTTCATAATTAACTACGTCTGAAAGCAGAAGTCTAGAGCAAATAATTTTAAGTCTCTTCAGTGTGCATGTCACAAAATGATTTTAAACGACATTTTGAAAAAAAAAGTAACATTTTGAAAAAAAGTCAAATCTGAGAAACAAAATCTAATTTGAGGTGCATTGTGCTCCATGTATGGGGAACGTGCTTCTGTAAATCGCCATGTAACTGTATAACAAATATATTACATTCTTTGCAAGCTCTTGTGGGGCCACATAAAATGAAGTTGCGGGCTGGATTTGGCCCCCGGGCCTTGAGTTTGACACCCCTGATGTACAGGCAAACATGGCAGAGATGTCGTGTGAATAAAGATCTGAAACAAAGCTTGTACATACAAATATTTGACTTATCCACTAGAGAGTTGCATTACATTCTGAGACGAAGGCAAATAATGCATTTAGCCCCAACAGGAGATCCTGTAATGTAATATTTGAGGTAATATGTGAAGCTCAGACGCCTCAGTGAGGATGGAGGTAAATGGATAAAAGTTATGAATGTATTTTCCAGAACAGCTGCGACTCAAGCGAGATTTCAAGGGTGTCATTTAACATGGAACGGCAGGAACATGCCGACGGCAACATTTAAAAATAATCTGTTGGGAGAAGAGATTAGGAAGACTGATGCTTTGGACTGATTCTCATATGCAGGGGGAAACATTTGAAGTGCCCTTTGCAGAATCTGTGTCCCATTATTTTAAAGGCAGGAAAAGTCTTTGTCATTCGGTCTGCTCCTCGAGTTATTTTGAAGTCACGCAAGATTTAAGGCAATTGAACGGACACAATATATTGTCTCTGACATCATCCATTGTTGGACGTGACATATAACTGCAGTTATATTGATGTGGTTGCACCTGTGGTTGCACCTGTGGTTGCCTATAATTGATTTTGAATTGTTTCCAGAGTATTTTTTTAAACATAGACTGTGTACAAGAATTTCACGTAAACACTGCAACATAACCCTTTCTTAGAGTACAGTTAAGAAGCCTTGAGTTAGAGGGTCGCCATCTTGGTTGATTGGAGACAGAACTGACCATATTCGGCATAGCAACATAAGCTAACAGCTAATGCTGGCTAGCTTGGTTAGCACAATACCTCCTTAATATAACTTTTTTTTTTAAAACTATGATATTAATTAGGATAGCTAGCAAAACACATAATTAAAACAAACTTTGCCGGAAAAAATGAATAGCCATCTCTTAGAGCACATGTGTCAAACTCAAGGCCCGGGGGCCAAATCAGGCCCTTGGTGGATTTAATTTCGGCCCGCAGGATAATTTCTAATTACTATTAGATCTGGCCCTCCGGTATATTGCACGCACACCTTCACTCAATCCTGAGGGTTTCCTCAGCTCAGAGCCTGAGCCCAAACATTGATGAACTTGCACCCAAGATGAGATGCCAAGTATCTGCTTGAGCTAGCATCACAGAGCAGCACACTGAGTTTACATGGATGTTTCCTTCTGCACTTTGATTCTTGAGACAACAGGGCATGTTTGGTTTTTTATTTGAGGAAAATAGTTTTGTTGAAGCTGTTGTTGGGCTTTGGAAAAATGTAATCATAAGAAATGACTCTGGAAAAGCTGCCGATAGAGCCATAAAAAATTAATGCAACTGATTATTTAATGTTTAATGTTGTTTTTATAGGCAATAATTTAAGATTAGTTAGTTCCAGGTTTAATATGTGCAATAAGTTCATTTCAATAAGTTTTGCAATAAACATTGAACCAGTTCGGCCCTCGACTAGTAGCCTACCGGTTTTTTTATTTTGGCCCACTGTGTATTTGAGTTTGACACCCCTGTCTTAGAGTATCGTTCAGTACAACTGTACGCTGATCAGCGCATCTGTAAAGCTATCCAGAACAGGAAACCACACTCAGTTAGCAACACAACCTGGAAGCTACAAAACATTTTTGGCTAGCGGTTTTCGTTCAACTGGATGAGGATATATACATTTTCCACTGACATTTTATTTATTAGTTACACTACTCTTATTTGTTTGAAAAGGATTCTGTAGTTACATGACAATACTTCTTTTTTCTATGCTTTAATTTTGATTGAGAAACAGAAGAAAAGTTTAGGTAGAGCTACAAGAAAAAAGACTGCAACAACCAGCAACGGGGCTGTTGTTTAAAAAGAAATATACCCCAGAAAGTCCTTTCTCTTTAAGGGAGAAATGAAACAAATATTGAGGCATATATCATAAGAGGTAGCTTCTTATGGAAATCCATCATTTAGGAAGTGGTGAATTTTGTTATGTTTAATGTTCTGTAATGTCAGAGAAAGACTTGCTGAAGGCACTTCTGCATGTCTTCACCACTTGTTTGTTGCATTTTTCACTTGTTTAAATACGAGTTGATTCGATAAAGAGCAGCTGTTCCTCATAGTTTTGTCCTAAGGCACGCTGAGAGTTGGAAAAGTGATGAACAAGCGATGACTTGAGAGAGGTAATGTGATCAAACTGTGGGAAGAGATGAGTCCAGGAGGGAGGGAGTGTGTTATTTTTTAGTCAAATCCAAATTAACATTTTTAAACCAAGCAGGAAATGAGATGTTCTCCTGACACACTGTTTGTGTCTGATAAGCAACGTAAGTCTAAGCGACTGAACAAAAGCCAAAGGCAGCAGATGTTCAGATAAATAAAAAAGCTGCAGAAACAAACTGGATTGGTAAAAACAAAACAAATGGAGGATACATTTGTCTTGGTCTCAAATGTGTGTGCACAAGCTCTCGTGTGTAATCTGGAAGCAAAAGACGATGTGTGAGAATTAGTCTTAATGTGCAACAGAGAGAATGAGAGAAATCCATCCAAGTCAGAGGCTGAGACTGATGCTAACGCTAAAATGGAGCCGTAGCTAATCGACTCTTTGGGTTCTGGCTTTATTCGAAGAAAAAATCAGAGGGAGAGCAGCAGAAAAGCCCTGCTGTTGTTCAGCTTGGCAAAGCCTGTAGACGGCAGCCTGCAGGGATCCATGATGGATTTGCTTACCTTTGATATGGTGATTAACAGTTGCCTATGAGAAGCTGGGGCTGCTGCTCTGCGAAACACAGAGCAGTTGTGCATAAATTATCAAGTGAATTGTCTGAGCAGCATTACAAATATGCAAGAAAATGCTGGAAGAAATATGTTTTTTAGAGGCCTATCCAGACATTAATTTAGTTGGATATTAATGTTATGTTTTGATCAGATCCAGGCTTTTGGAGTGGGATCACTAGCTTAAAATTCTCTGGTGATGGTTTGAGGGAAAATAAAAAAGTTTAGCAGTGTGGGAAAACATAATCAGAGCAACATAAAGACAACACTTTGGAAATAATTAAACAGAAATGTGAATAGAGAACTAAACTTTGGGCCAAAGACTTCACTGGGAAACTGTGTCATCAGACAGTTGAGGTAATGACATACGAGTGTAGTTAATAGACCCTAAGCTGACCAATATGATAAATACTCTCTGTAACCACAAATAAGAGCAACAGGGTCACGTAGTGCGGCTCCTTTAAGAGTTATTAGTCTGAAAGTCTGAGCAGTTCTGTTGATCTCATTTGAAATATTATCGAAGCTAATTACCAGACGGAGGGGAAAAGAAGATGTGTTTTTTCAGTCTGAGTCTGCTTAAGACTCCACTGGAAAATAATATATCATATATGAACCAGGCTCATTAGGAAGTGACAGATGTTCAGAGGTCCTTAAATACTTGTCATAAGATCTTATGCTGGGCTTATGCTGCAATATTATACATGTTTCTATTAGCGATGGATGGTATGATTACCTGTATGTGACATGTGTTGCTCATAATGAAAACACGGAGCATTTGCAGTTCCAGTCACCATTTTGGAAACAGATGTGACACGAGATGGTGCAAGTCTCACCAAACACTGAACAAGACGGCGAACAAACATATTAAATTAAACTTTAATAAACTGAGAACACACTTATAAACCTCAAAGATATTAAACACAAACACGGATTGAAACTAGACAACACCATGTGGTGAAATGTCAATCAAAAGGTAACCCCGCCCCTAAAGCGCTTCATGCTTCATACATCTATTTTAGACCACATTTTACGAAATGAATAACATGCTGTAATGAAGAAGATTTGACGCAAGCAATTGAGATCATAAACTAATCATAAAATGTTAGTGAGGTAATAAATCAAGTGAATGGTAGGGTCAATTTCTTATAGACCTCTTTAGAATCTGACCTGAGTCGTCCCAAGCAGGCTATTTTATAAGATTAAAAAAAAAAATGCTTGTTCACTTCTGCATTGGCTTTACTTTACAGTCCAGGGGGGTTGCAGCTTTGATCTAATGAAGAACAAACAACTTGCATAAAAAAATTGGAACAGCTGCAAAGGGGAGCTGTAGATTCAGGAGATAAAACTCTATAAGCTCATAATTACGAGCGACCGTGCTTACATGTTTTGCTTTACTTCGTCATATTAAAAAGCTCTAACTTGTCACCTTGATGCAGAAGTGTTGTCAGGATGTATCAGTACGCTTTGACATCACTGTTGGTGCACTTACGGCCCATTAGGTGACCTTTTAAAGGACATGCGTTGCTAACGTGTTTTTACCTTACTGACCTCAGAGTCTCTCTCTCTCTGCAGAGCCTCGCCACCTGGGAGACGGAGAACAAGATGGTCTGTAAGCAGACTCTGGTGGACGGCAACGGCCCCAAAACCTACTGGACCCGAGAGCTGAGCGGAGATGAGCTCATACTGGTGAGCGCACGGAAATGACTCATCTTCTCGATGAAAGATTGATGCTGAGGAAAGTGAAAAAAAGGCAAAAGCATCAGTAGATAAATTAAATCTTGTTTCAGGGTGAGGACCAACAAAGACTAGGCAAAAAAATATTAAAGTGCTTGCCCCATGATGTTATGTTAAAGGTCCCCTATTATGCAAAATGCACTTTTTGATGTCTTGTATACATAAATATGTGTCCTGCATGAGCTATGGAGCCAGAATCAGCACTTCGCTAACATGGCTGAAATAGAGAGTATGAGGCATGGATAGAATGGGTGATCTGTGACATGTTTTTTATATATCTGAGACCTATAATATATGCCTAAAAATAGTATAATAGGAGACCTTTAAGCACAAGGAGTCTAAGATCTGATGGGTAGCTAATCTGTATGGTTGGTCTGTTACATGGCTTGTTCCCATGGAGACCCTAAAGACATCAGTTGCATTAAAATGGGATTTCACGATCAGCTAGTGTACTTGAAATGTTTTAATGAAACGAGGCAGGGAGTCACCAAGGAGATTCATCCGTAAGGGAAAGGAGAGGGCCCGTTTCCCAAGGAGCCGAGCTTTCATCCACCCCGCGGAGAGATGTTGAAAGGAGAACAAGAGGGAGCTGCTACGCTGACATCGCAGTAATACCCCCAGTATTTAGCCAGATTAATATAGGCACAAGTCAATGGGTCTAAAGCCCCTCGAACGAAGTGCAAGAGAGCCGTCCAAGTGAGGAAGAGTTCTCAGGGACTCAACGGCTTTTTCTCTCTCAGCGCTCCCACGCTTTGCTCTGTTGTTCCTCGAGTACTTGTGAGATGAATGTCCAAAAGGCAAGAGCTCTTAACAACAATACAGAAGGTGTAGCTACTGAAGAAGTAAACACAGGATGTTTGCAAAGCTTTATAATACAAGCCAGAATTTCAAGCAGCTTGAGTTGTATCTTCAATGCTAATCTCAATGCTAAGGTGGGAAGTAATGGAGTACAAATACTTTGTTACTGTACTTAAGTACATCGTTCCTGTCCTTTCTACTTCATACATTTTGAACACTAATATCTGTACTTTCTACTTCTCACATTTTCCAAACAGGCTGGTTCCTTTAGTTTGAATGTGTGTTTGTGTTATTATTTAAAGTCATTGCGTGCCTATTGATTTGAACACGATCCGTGTATCCATCATTTCCTGGTCTTCTCTAAAGAAGAGGGACCAATGAAAACGTTGTCATGTTGCCGTTGGTCACCATGGAAACATTCATTAGCTAACAAGGAAACTATTGTTCTGTTAATATAAAGGGAGGTCAGGTACTCTTTAAAACAGATGCTAGTTATGGGTACTTTTTACTTAAAGGGGACCTATCATGCAAAATGCACTCTTGTACGTCTTTTATACATGAATGTGTCCCCGGTGTGTCAGGGAACTCACCAAGTGTCAGAAAACACAACCCTCTCTCCTCTCCTCCATACCCAAATCTCTAAAAACGGGGCTGATTATTATTTGAATTTTTCTGACGTCAGAAAAGGGGTGCTGCGCCTATATCAGGGGAATGAGAGACCGCTCGAAAGCGCTGGAGACGCTGTAGTACATATGCCAGGCCTATAAGTGGCGCTGTAGTCTGCCACAAAAGCAGAATCAGCCCTCTGCAAAAACAGGGCTGGAAAAGAGCAAATAGAGCGAAATGAGGCATGGCTAAAATGCATGATCTGTTTGGTATTTTGAAAAAAATACTTCACAGACATGTTTTATATAGGTATGGCCCTACAATATATTATTCAAATATAGCATGATAGGTCCACTTTAAGTACATTTCAAAGCCCATACTTCTTTATTTTTACTTGAGTAAAGAAGTTTAGTCAGTACTTCTACTTTACCAGAGTATTTTTAAACACGAGTATCTGTACTTCTACTTGAGTAAAGGATGTGTCGACTTCTGCCATCTCTGCTGCTAACCCACTTGAAGATCATTGTTGTTTAGAGAAAGGCAGAACAGATTCTAGTGTTGGCGTGATCAAATGTGTCACAGCGCCTGCCTCTCTGGTGACACTCCGCCCTGGAGGAGCTGATGCATGCAGGCACTAATTGATCTGTGCTTCTCTGCTCTTCTCACCTCTGTCCTCCCTGCTGTTACACCGTCAGAGTAACCCCAGGATAGATCGTGTTGACAGAGCAGCTTGTCGAGTCCCAATTTGACCTTTTTTCTTTTTAGTATTGGCACAGAAAAGCCCGTTATAAGATAGGTAATTGGTTTTGCAGCTTGTATTTGTTGTCCTGTCAACACTAACAAGTACATCTTCATCGTCATGATTTACCTGAGA